GGATTCGAACCCACGACCTTACGGTTGCGAGTCCGAGAGCCTAACCACTAGGCCACCGACGCCATTACTAACTAACTGGGCCCCCTTTCGATGAAAGGAATGATCGGTGCATTAACATCAACTGAAAGTCATTGAACTGCTATATTTACACTCTACTGGAATGCAGTAATAAATCGTGAGATATAAGTGACACACGCGTTTCCAAGTTGCCTAAAATAATGTAATAGATGTAGGCGCCTATAGATTGATTCTCTATTCCGCTTTCGTGGTTGTGCACTCCATAATTTCAAAGGTGTGCAATAAGTGTGCTCTCCCAGTGAACGGAAACCTCACTTATTCAGAATGGCGTTTTAGAAGACGGACTTTCCCAATATTAGATCTAAACGAAACTAATGAAAAACTGAAAATTAAATTACAGTGACTTCACTTCAGGCTCCTCAATGAAACTGTGCACCCTTTAAATGATTCTGAACCGCTGTTAATTTTTTCAATTTCGAAAGTTAAGTGGTTCGAAAGTATTAGGCGGCGAAAGTGACGAACTTTCTCAAATATAATATGTATAGAATAGATAACACTATTTCCTCCTCTATACAGGTGAACCGACCGTTGTCAATGAAGAAAGAAGGAATACAGACGAGGAAAAGAAAGCCGAAATCTTCCTCCAAGTCCAAGTCTTCTTCCAAGGATTCTCTGAACCACCAACAGCAGCAACAGCAACAGCAGCGCATGCAGCAAGCCCAACAACAGCAGCATCAGCAGCAACAACAACAGCAACAGCAACAACAGCAGCACCAGGTTCAGCCACCAATCCCCACTCACCAGCACCACCCTTATATGGACTACGAGACTGCTCAGCTACAACAGCAACAGCAGAATCATCACCACCACCACCACCAGCAACAACAACAACAACAACAACAGCAGCACCATCACGCAGGCACAAGCATGCTGGCGGGGGAGCCGGTGGTGAATCACGTGACTGGTGACGTCAGCGGTCTACTTCCGGGTCAGCAGCCCCGCTCTCATGACCTCTTGGATTTGACCTTGTCTCGCTCGGAGAACGGGCACGGTGAGTGTGTGAGTGTGTGTGTGTGTGTGTGTTTGCTCAGCTCTCTAGGGTTAATGATTG